ACGCGGGTGCATAACCTCACGAGGCATGTACATAATGGATTCGTTGTGTTAAACAAGGAGCTATACGCGGATGTATACTAGGTATACAGTTATGTATGTATATCTACACCCTTGGTGTTAAACCTCACCAGGTGCAAATAAAAACAAAAAACAATTAAATATTGCCATAAAACAACATTTAAATACTATATAACTGTTTTTGTTCACTCCGTACTGTATAGAGATGTTCAGGCTTGTTTTATGCACCCGTGTATAGAGGGTTTGTTTTTCTCTCAAACATTAGTAATACTTCTCAAATACTTCTTATAAATAGAGCACCCTACCTATTTGCCTAATGGCCTCGATTTTCAGTTATGTGACTGGTATTCCAGGAACTAGATAACCAACTTCGGAATTACCATAACTAAGATAAAAGAGAGTTCTGTAGCTTATTGGTTAAAACATGAAAATATCTATACAATCATTATATATTGTAAGTATTATAGTATATTGCACAGACATGTTCATGGTGATATTACGTAAGCCACCACCAGGGTGCATGTGATCATAATGTAATACACATTAACCCACATTACCATTGTAGTTCATACAAAATTCATACACATTTTTCCAATATATCTCTTAGATATATACGTCCAAAGTTGTAGTGAACAACGCGTTTAGAGTATTTTCCATTCAAAAGTTCCACCTTTGCTTTAGCAATCAGCATATTAAATTCATATTGCACATATATGAGTATACAGATGTTCATGCATATACATGGTAATGGGTGAAGCTGATGACTAAGACAACAACACATCCATCCCATCCCTTAAAAAATAGTTATATGTTTTTTATATTATATAAGCTACATTACAAAAATACACTGCATGTGGATACACGGAACAAGCGAGAGCGCCACCTGGCGATCATGTTCGTTACTATTTGTCGCGTGAACGTCTGAGAAGAAGAATTCGATATAATTCGATTAATAAAGAGTCATTGCGCAAGAATTGGACACCGCGAGATAATAGTGATCGCCATCAACAGAACTGCTACGGACCGTATATGATGTCCCCGTCATGCAACGTAAAGCGACTTGCAACAATCCGCGGGGAGAAACGCTAGAAGTGAAAAGCACAACAGCCCCCGTATACAAAACTTAACGAAACTACATAAAGATCGATGCTCTATATATAACATCACGTTGTAACACATGTATTCTCTTGAGAATACACGTACTTCTCTCAATGAGAAGATTCAATCTCTTCGCTGAGAATACGCATGTTCACGATGGCATCAGGAGTGAATAATAGTAGAGATATCTATTATATAATAATAGTAGAGTATCTAGTATCATTCACTCCTCATAACACATGACATCTGAACATAACTACACGTTTACACAGATATCTTCACGGTACTAGGGTATGTACATTATATACAGGGACTCGGTCTAGTCACCTGCTCACTGCTAACGCGCACGTATGCGCGGTGCACGGGGAAACGACAAGGTTAAACCGTACAGGAAAACCTCCGTTTCGCCATATAAAAAAAACCCACGAAATACTGTCGACAAACGCGTGCACGAGTACATGCGCACAACTGGGATATGGATTACCCACCGACATTAGAGAGATAGGCCTATAGAGAATAAATATTGATCTAGAAACCGCCGCTTCAGAAATTACACGCAGAGCAAGGTCGTGCAAGGTCGAATCGCCCCTAGGTCTCGCTCACACGGCACCAGCGGAGCGGGCGCGACTTGGTTACGTCGACGTTCAATCATGGCCGCCGCGACGATGCAATGAGTATTGTTTGTGAAAGAACTAATTCGATAGCATTAATTAAATCGTATTAATTAATTAATTAATTCGGGGGCCGCGCCGAGATGTAGTTTCGAGGTGAGGCTGCCGCTCGAGGGAAACGTCGATACTGTCCTTTATAGACAGGTGTCCATTCTATTGGCGGTGTCCGGTTTATCGGGCGTAGATAATGACAAACAATTGTCATTACCATCTACCCCTGATTTTATTAGGTTCACCGCTAACACAGACTCTGACTGTATTGACTGTCTCTGACTGTCTCCCTCACTTGACTGTGTGTCTTCGAACTGGTTTAGCTCGTGCATACCCAAATCACGCGACGAACACTGCGTGAGGGCACGACGTAGGTGAGCCAGGGGGCGCCACCGCCACTCACAGGACGATGCGTCCGTAGACTTGCAGGGAGGACAGCACGCCGTATGTGAGCCAGGGGGCGCCACCGCCACCGCCGCCGCTCACAGGACGATGCGTCCGTAGACTTGCAGCGATGACAGCACGACGTATGTGAGCCAGAGGGCGCCACCGCCACCGCCGCCGCTCACAGGAGGATGTGTCCGTAGACTTTCAGCGACGACAGCACGACGTAGGTGAACCAGAGGGTGATGAGGACGGCCGCGGTGGCGTACTTTTGCGGCACGCGTCCCCCGAGCTCGGACCCGCCGAACACCGGCACGTAGCGTCGCAGCAGCAGCAGCGAGATGCAGATGACCGCGGCTATCGTGTAGAGGGCGACACTGAAGGTGAGCGATCCCGACGGCACGTTGAACGGTTTGTCCTGCGGAGGCGGCGGAAGATATATGACGAGACAGTCAGAGGTCGTTTGAATTCGAATAATGAATTATGAATGAATGAACGATAAATGCGGCGGCAGGAGGGCGAGAAGAAAAGACGGGAGGCTGTTTTTAGTTTGAATGATGAATTAGGAATTGAGAACGAAACCGATTCAATTTGTTTGATTTTATGTTCGAATTCGAAGAAATTTACGAAGAAAGATTTACCATTACCAGATTACCATACCTGCGGCAGCGGGAGCAGGAGAAGAAATGATGGGAGGTCGTGTTCATTATTACGAACGATGAAGAGGGGATTTAGAATGAAATTCGATTTATTTAATTCGTTTGATTTTACCTTTGAATTTGAAAAAATAAACTTACGGTTGCACTGGTTTGCCTTCGCGAAAAGGCAGTTTTCTCAGTGCTTTAAGTAATTAATATTCTGCATTAATAATAGCAGTAGTTAATAATGACAAATTTGTAATTATTAACTCCTGATAATAGCGCACTGTTGTACTATACTGCTCTGTGGCGAATTGCATGAGAAATGAGACCGGATGGATTTATGTGAAATTGCATAAGAATATGGTTTTATGACGCTTACACATCGATTCTATGGTCGTTTAGCACGAATCAAAATACATATTGCGTACGCACTGAAGTTTAAACCTTTATAAATATTTTTTAATAATAAAGAAGAATAAAAAGTTCTGCGTCACATTTATTCTGGCCTGCTGCTGCCTACGGACGCCATCTACTGGCGAAATTCCTACTACACAAGGATTGAACGGAGGTGGAAACGTGAGCTGAAACCATGGCTGAGTGGCAGCAGCAGCAACAGCAGCAGCAGTAACAGCGGCATCAGCAGCAGCATCACCTATACTTATTAACGCTGAAGGGGTCGTTGTCGTATCAGGTACTACAGATATGTACCCAAGGTACATATATGTATACACAAAGTGTACCAGACTTGTACTAGAGAAGTGTACCCTAACCCTAACCCTAAACATACCTTATATAAAAATATAAACATAATACTAAACAA